TATGGCTGTGTAGGAGAGTGCTGGGCCTTGGAGGCTCCCAAACGAGCTCTGGGGCAGCCTGCGGTTTTGAGGCCAGGAAGCTTTGGAAACTGATGTGTACTGAGAGAGGAGACTCTTCTTCTCTGGTATTTTTGGGGAAATATTTTTCAATTTTTATAAATAAGTAATGTACGTACCAGGCACAAAAATCAAAAGAAACAAATGTACCCCACTTCTCTGACCCCAGGCACCTAGTTCCCCTCCCCAGAAGCAAACATTGTGATTACTTACCCACTGTCCCCAAGCGATTGCATCCCTGCATCCTTGAGCACACATTTGATACAGGAGGGAGCACGCTATGCACACTGCTCAGACCTCAAATTTCCCCTCTGCAGTGTAAGTTGGGGAGAAGTCCCCTCCAGTGCACTGAGCAGCCCCTTTACGAAAGCTCTAGAACTGTCCTGTCAACACACATCTCTTTAAATTAATATTTCAATTAATTAAAACAACTCCTCAGTCACACGAGCCACATTTCAAGTGCTCAATAGCCACACGTGGCTGGTGGCTACCGTCTTGGATAGCACAGATATGGAAGATTTCCATCACTGGACAAAGTTCTATAGGACAGTGCTGCTCTAGAGAATTCCATGGCATCCATTATTTATCTCTAATCTGTCTGTTTTCAGGGGTTGTTTGGAAGGGGCAGAAGCTCAGGTGTGTTGAGGGGCAGAAACCCTCAGCACATGCAGTGGGTCCCCCAGGATCTGAGAGCTACCCCTCTTTGAAGGTTCTAGAGCTGTGCTGTCCAATATGGGTCTCGCTGTTTCAGCTCTGCCAGTCAACCCCACTCTCTTGGGGTCTGATTTCCTAGGGCCACAGCTGTGGAAGGAAAGGGTGTCCCTGGCCGAGAGTCTCTCACCCTTACCGGGTCATTCGACAAGCCTTAGGGCGGCCTGCTTTGCCCTGGGCCTGCATTCTTAGAGATGGAGCCCAGGAGGCCCCTGTCCTGGGAGGAACGGAGAGGGTCCTTCCAGTCCTGCATAGAGGCAAAATGCCTAGGCTATGCCGTGAGGTCAGCCTGGCCTTCCTGGAGGGGGTGATAACTGAACTGAGTCCTGAAGGGTACCTGGAGGTTGGAGAGCTGCTTGGAGCCTGTGGCCATACCCCTCAGGACCAGATGGTGAGATCAGCAGGGCCAGGTCAGGCTGGGCCCCAAGTACCAGCACAAGACCTGGAGCCTGGCACTGGGGGGCCGGAAGAAGCTAGCTGTGGAATGTGAGCAGCCACCGGGTTGGAGACGATGTGGGGGAAGTCTGGGTGAGTTCAGCTGTTGGTGATTTCACGCCTCCTCCTCTGCCACTTCTTGGGGACAGGCCCCAGCCAAGGGGCCCAGGTGCCAACGAAGGTCAGATTTCGGCAGCAAGAGAATAAAGGAGATTTCCTTTGGAGGGGAGCCCTCTCCCCCAGAGAGAGCTGCAGCTGCCTCCCTCCGGGATTAAGCTAAATTCTATAGCAGGTGGAGGGGCGGGAGGGACACTCCCAGTTAGGGTCGGAGTGTGGGAAGGGGCCGGCAGTGCAGCTGAGTGTGCATACCTGAGTGTGCATGTACCTGGGAATGGGTCTCCTCGGTCCCTTCATTCAACATTTTACTGCCCCTCAGTTCTGCCCAGTGCTGCTCTGGGTGGGGGTTGGGGGAGCATGGACAGTAACCACTAAACTGAATCCAGGGCTATAAAACATGGAAGAAGACACAGAAAATGGGGGCAGTTTCCCTTGGGGGGCAAGAGAGTGGGTGCCCTGCAGACTAAGGCCTCCAGGTGATTCTGAAATATGCTGAGGTTCCAGAATGACTGACTCAAAACGTATCCAAGCTGTGCTGGCTTCCTGGTACTCAGTTTGCTGGAGGGAGACTGAGAGAGCGTCCCCTTCTACAGCAATGAGCACCTCTCTGAATGGGGGCTCAGCCTGAGATGGGCCCAACTTGGGAGAGGGCCAGGGGAGGTGGCCCTGAAAAATGAGGTTTGAGTGAGATGTAAAGGGCAAGGAGGGCTTGGTCAGGTAGGGGGAGAGGAGTGTTCCCCAGGGAGGAACAACCCGTGTGGGGGCCCTGAAGTGGCAGGGACCAGAGGCCGTGGGGCTTGGAGCCCAAAGCACTGGGCCTAGCATGCCTGTGCTCAGGCCTCCTGCATGTCCATTCACCCGTGTGCTTGGACACTCCATTAACAGATGTCCCTGCTTCTGCAAACCTAGAGCCTCCCCTGGTCCTCAGAAAGGCCGGGCCACTATGGCTGTGGGAAGGAGCTCTGCAGTGGGACAGGGCACCTGGTCACAAACACTGGCTCTCCCCCTTACTCCTGTGTGACCTCTGCCCAGTCACTTCCTTCTGCTGAGCCTCAATTGTCCTTATCTGGGCAATGGGGATAAGAATGTCTTCCTGATAGGGCTGCCTAGAGGCGAGAATGAGATCCTGGAAATTTGGCCCTGGAGCATTTCCTTCTAATCCCACTTGTTGATTGAGCACTTAAAATCACTCTCCAAGGAGTGTCCGCATTCCTGTGTTTCAGGCTTGAGAGGGTAACTTCAGTCATAGCAGTCCCTCTCCCACACTGTGGCCCACCTGACCCTCACTCCCAGCAGCCTTCTATCCCTGGGCTCCTGCTCCCAGATCTGAGTGGCTATATACCTGTTGCTCCCACCAGAGCCCTGACTGATACATGGAGCCAGCAAGTGGCAGAATCCAGAGGTGACCAATGCTTTTCCTACAGGCTCCTGAGGCCGCTGTCACAGGCTAAGAAGCCTCTTAGAACCCAGGCTGACCAAGGGGCCCAGGCTCCAGCTGCTGCCAGGTTGCCCAGAGCAGGCAGGGGGAGGGGAGGTGGGGCAGCCTAACTTGCACGGGAATTAGCAGCATGTGTCTCACAGTGACATGCAACATCAGGAATGTGGAAGGGCCCCAGCAAGCGTGTGCCTGCCAGGGAGGGATGTGGGCAGGGAGGGACACAGGGTGGGCAGCTGAGCTGCTCCTGGCCCCTGGGACCTACCAGGCAGCAGCTGTCCCTGTCACTCTTGAGTGACCTGTCTCTGGTCTCCCATGTGCGAAGGACCCACTGGGAACCTGGGGCAGGGAGTCAACTCAGCACCTTCTTCGAGCTCCATCCTTGTGATCCTGGGCCTGTCACATCCCTCAGTTTCTCCACAATTAAATGGGAAGAATGATCTTTACCTGGTGAGGCTGTGGTGAGGGAAAGCGGTGGGTGGCTGAATCTGACAGGGCAGTGGGCTCATGCTGGGGAAGTGGAAAATGGCGGGCAGAGTGGGAGGGCTCTCATCCCTTACCCCCTTGTCCTGACATACTACTCTAATCAACCCCTTCCTTCCCCAGGTGGGCTCTGAGGGACCTGCCTGTCCTGTGATTAGCTGTGCTGGCGAAGGACATAGCCACTGGCCAGTGATGACCAGGGGGAGACTTGAGCTTGGGGGTGGGACTTAGAAAGTTTGGGGGCTCCAGGGAGACAGTGGGGGGTCCTTCAGCACAGGAGGTGCATAAGCTAAAAGCTGCTTTTGGGAGCTGCGTCTGGAGCCACCTGCAGGGATATGCAAGGGAATGGGACAGAGACCTTGGGCGGAGGGGGACACCTTGGGCTGAAGGGGACACTCAGGCTGCTGCAAAGCCCAAGCACTAGCTCTCCGTGAGGCACTCAGCACAACCATGTGAGCTCTGCACGGTGTCCTTCCCCAAGCTTGCACTCATCCAAGTCCCGTCTCATCTTAAACCTAAGCCCAGAGAGGCAGGCAGGGCAGGAGCACCCCACTCATTAGGGTGAAGGAAGTCACCATCAGAGAAGTGACAGCACTGGCCTTGGGACACTGAAAGTGACAGGCTTTGAACCTCTTGGCTTCAAGTCTACTGTTTTTTCCACCTTTTTCGGGACTAGGGTTCCTGAGGGAAAGGAGGTGGTTGGGGATGACTCCCTGGTTCCTGGCCTGTGCCTTCTCTGAGATGGAGGGCCCTGGAGAAGGCACAGTTTTGGGGGGATATGAGTAGTTCAGGTTGGGACATGGTGAGTCAGAGGCATGGTGAAGGTGTGGGGAGACCCAGAGTGGGAAAGAAGCATGGTCATGAGCTGCTTCTCAAGTCTTCAGGGTGGCCCCAGCCCCACATTCTTACAACCAGTCCCTCTGACTGATCCTGAATGGATTTTCAGCCACCACTCCCTGGGAGGCCACGGGGGCAATCCAAGGGGCCTCCACAAAGGGTCTGCCCTGGTTGGGCAGTCCTGTGCCTGGAAGACAGGGCAGGAGAGCCAGGCAGTAGGTCGGATGCCCCACCCCACAGTTCAGGGGCTGGGGAGCAGCAGTAACTGCTGGGATGGAGCTGGGGAAAGGTCCAGGCTCAGAGCCCTGGGAAGCTGATCCTCCCCACCACCCAGAGGGCATCTGAGAACAGGGCTGTGAGGGCTCCCCAGGGGAGGACCAGGCAGGCAGGGACAGCTGCAGCCCAGCCGGACGGGCGGCAACCAGCTGCTGCCTGGGAGACTGGCCAGGGTGAGTTGGGGCGGGTACGGCCCCCACAAGCCCTCTGCCTGAGCTGCAGAGCGTGGGAGCCACCGTGGGAGCCGCTGACAGCCTCGAAGCTGGGTTTCAGGCTTTCACGCTGTGTTTACGGTCAGCTTGGTTAATGCTGAGCAGATGGGGGAGGGGTGCTGCCAGCTCCCTTGACGACAGCCCCAGGGCACACACGCACATGTGCAGAGGGTACAGGAGTCCTGCCCAGTGGGCTCCTCTGCCCATCAGTATTCGTTCACACCATCACATACATACGATGGTCCCAGTAAGAGACCAAGACAGGCGCACGCCGGCTACTGGGTCTGCTCTGAGGCAGCTGGAGGTGGATTTTGAATCCAAGGCTGGGCACAGAGCCCTCAGTCTGTCACCGTGGCAGAACTCCCAGCTTGGGGTCCTTTCACCCTGTTCCCGCTCCATCCGCTGCAAGGGAGACACCAGGCACACGGAGGTTTATTTCAAAAAAATAATTTATCGAAGGCCATTTGCTTCTGTGTTTTTGGCAGGCTTCCAGCTTCAGGAGCACAGGGCCGAAACTCCTAGCACCAAGACACTGGGACAACCATCCGAAGGAAGGCGGGGGAGGCCTGAGGAAACGGGGACCAGAGGCCCAAGACCTTTCTTGGTGTAGGGAAGCAGGGAGGTTTGGGACAACCCTGCACCCAGGTCCAGCCAAACCCCTGGAGCCAGAACCAAGTGCCAAGGCCCAGAAGCCAAGCAGAGCCTTAACACTCAGGCCATTAGAATGTGGGGCATGACTCTCAGGGTAAGGGGAGGGCCGTGAGACTGGGGAGGAACACTGGGTTAGGAACCTGAGGCCAGAGCCAGAAGCCTCAACTAGGGACCCCAGGACCAAGGAGACCTCTCCAAAGCAGAGCTGGAGATCTGGGACAGCACCCTGAAGCCAGGGCCTGGGGCTGCCAAGGTCAAGCACCAATGGACTGCAGCTGAGCCAGGAGGCACAGGGCTGCTGGCTGTCTTGCCCACACAACCTCGTGCCCCTGCTCAAGTCTGCATCCCAGAGAAGGGGAAGGAACTGGACCCCAGTGGCAGGGGGTCATGGCTGAAGACAGAATCGCTGGAGGAGCAGGTGCTGCTGGCATCCCCATTGGCCAGGGAGTAGGGTCCAAAGGTCAGGCGGAGGTCAAGGTACTGCGAGGGAACAGTGCAGGTTAGCCCTGATAGTCAGCTCAGATGAGGGCCCAGAAAGGAATGGGCAGAAGGAGGTCACAGGACTGGAGGGGAGCAGTACCTCCTCAGAGATGGCCAGCAGGGCCTTGTCCAGTGCCTCCACCAGCTGCTTGAAAGTGGGCCTCTGAGAGGGTGCCGCGTGCCAGCACTCTCGCATCAGCCCATACCTGGGAGAGATGGGGCAGAGTCAGAAGGCGCCTCATGCCTGGCTGAGGGGAGGACCTCATGCCCTGGGTGGGATCTGCTGGGGGGTAGTGGGGTCATTCAGTGAATGGGCACAGAAGCCAGGCCAGGGCCTCCCTGCTGGGCCAAGGAGGCAGTCAGAGGCCACAGTGAAAGTTGGTGCTGACCACGCCCCAGGGCCAGGCCCTGAGGCCAAGGTCAGGGCAGAGGATTAGGACTGGAGAGTGGGGGAGAGTGGGGCGAGGGCTCACAGCTCTGGAGGGCAGTTTGGGGGCCGGTCCATCCGATGGCCCTCCCGCAGCAGTGAGAACAGCTCCTCCACAGGAATGCCAGGGTACGGGGAACCCCCAAGGGTGAAGATCTCCCACAGCAGGATCCCAAATGACCACCTGGAGGCAGGACCAGGACTCAGCAGGGCACAGCTTCGCTCCCTACTCCTGGGCCTGGGATGGGAGACCCCGCAGGCATGGTCTGCCACCCGAGGTGGGGACTAGGACTTCTTTGGAAGTCTGGTTCCTCAGGTCCCAGGGCTGTATGACCTTGGGCAAGTGCTTTGCCCTTTCTATGGGGTATGACAATGGTCCTGGCAGACACTCTGGACCCCCGCCTTCCAGGACTCACACGTCACTCTGGTGTGTGTAGACTCGGTCAAACAAGGCCTCAGGTGCCATCCACTTGACAGGCAGGCGGCCCTGGAAGAGACAGGAGGGGGCATTAGTGCCAGTCCCACAGGTCCTCCCCGCTCCCAGCTCTGCCCTGCCTCCCTCACATTGCTGGTTTTCTTGTAGTAGTCAATATGGTGGACGCCACGGGCCAGCCCAAAGTCAGCGATCTTCATCACATTTTCCTCTGTCACCAGCACGTTGCGGGCAGCTAGGTCCCGGTGGATGCACTGGGGGCAGGGAAGGAGACTTAGGCTTCTTAGGACACAGCACCTCACAGGAACCCTGGTGGGTCAGGATCATCACCCATTTCACAGATGAGGAAGTCGGGATTCAGGGAGGGGACACCTGAGCAGTCTAACTTCAGGGCCCGCACGTTCTCTCTTGTGTTGCCTCTTCCCCTGCCCTACCTCTGGGTTAGGACATATGTGAGGATGGAATGGGGACATGCAGTCAGCTATGTACACATGGGGGGTGGTACAGAAGGACTTAGGGTAATGAAAAAGGGGAGGGAGAAAATGGGGACTTTTGATGTCAGAGGCATAAAGGTGTGAAGATGGAGCAGTTGGAGTGGCCCAGAGTGCTGCCCATTGCCCGAACCTTCTGAGACTCCAGGTAATGCATGCCTCGGGCCACCTGGTAGGCGCAGGAGACCAGGGCAGGGAAGGAGAGTGGCCCCTCACTGCTCCGCAGCCCGTCGGGGCTGAGGTCAGGGCCTGGGGGGCGTCGGGCCCGCAGGAACTCCCGCAGGTTTCCCTTGGCAGCACACTCCACAATCACGTACAGGGGCCCTGCAGAGGCGAGGCCAGAAGGCGGGGGTCAGGGAGGCTGCTGAGGCTGTGCTCTGCGCCCCAGCTGCCCCCTCTCTGGGCCCGCCACGTCCCACCTTCCTGGGTGCAGACACCCAGCAGATTGATAATGTTCTTATGCCTGCCAATCAGCTTCATCACCTCCATTTCAGAGACCAGATCTGCCAAGTCCTTGTCGGAGGCATTGTCTGCAAGGAGGACAGCCAGGGTGACTACACAAGGGAGGCCATAGGTAGGGGACAGGACACTGAGTGCTGGACTAGGAGTCAGGAAGATCTGGGCCTGAGTCCCTGCTAGGCTGTGTGGCCTCGAAAAAGTCACCTATCCTCTCTAAACCAGGATCCTCTTGTATGAAATGGGCTAATGGATCACATTCTATCTCTCACAGCAGTTGCAAGGATGCAAGAAGATCAAGGATCTAAAAAAGGTAGGCCTGCCAGTGGGGGGAACAGGAAACAGGAGAGGGGAAAGAGGAAGGAAGCTTCGTCTGCAGGGCTTGGCGTTAGTCCCTGAATGGGGTGAGAGCTCCTGGGGGCGGAAAGCAGGCTGGCGCCCTGAGGTCTGTCTGACCAGGATCTGGCGTCCATCTGGCCTGGGAATTCAGGGAGCTGCCAGTGGGGCGCAGCTAGGGGAGGCCTGGAAGAAGGCAGCGGAGCAGGGGCTGGGCCCCTGGGGCTGACCTGTGGCCCTGGGCCAATGACATACCCTCACCGCCAGACCTCACAATGCACATTTCTCAATCCCTGCCTCCTTGAAAGTGCCAGGTGGCCCCAGCTGTGCAGAGAGGAGGGCGGGGAGTGGAGGGAGCAGAACATCGGTGGGTTTGGACTGCTCTTGTAGAGGGGGCTGGGGGACAGCAGTGAGAGGCCCTGATGGTAGGTCCCAGGTGTGTCTGGAGCACCTTGGGGCTCCTGTTTGGGGGTTGGGACTGAGTTTAAGCAGAAGGGCTATTCTTCTAGAGTGGTGGACATAGCAGGACAGACTTGGGACGGGCCCAGGGGAGACTGAGTGCGATTCGGGGGGAATCGTGGGGAATGAGGTGGAGGCCTGCAAGGCTGATGAGGTTACTTGAGGCCAAGGCTGACGGGGGGGTTATCAAACCCCAGATACCCCAAATCCTCGTAGTCTCCATCATCTCCATGGGTAAGATTTAATGCCCCAGGCACTTTCCATGAACCTCAGGACTGGGAGGTAGGGACACGTGAGGAAACAGGCTCAGAAGTAACTTGCCAAGTAGCACAGTTGGGTCCCAGGCCCAAGGGTGGGAACCTTCAGCCTCTCCTGGCTCCCAGTGCTCACCTGGTAGCACCATGAGCCTCTTCTGTTAGTACCAAGGCCACAGTACCTCCCCAAGGCCACCACACTCACCCTTGAGCATCTTGACAGCCACGGTGCTGACTTGGTCAGGCTGGGCTGGGTTCATGCCCAAAGCCTCTGCACGCACAACCTGCCCAAAGCAGCCCTCGCCCAGGGGCTTCCCAAGCACCAGCCTGAAAATGGAGAAAGCTGAGGCCTCAGCCATCTGGGTATCATCACTGTCTGCCACCCACACCCTCACTCTGCACAATGTACCTGTCCCGGGGGAACTCCCACAGCGGGTCCAGAGGGAGGTCTAGACTCACGAGGCCAGCGAGCAAGGGGGGCCCGCTAGAGGAGAGCCGGACACCCCGTACCAGGGATGAACTGGACTTAGCTGAGGAGCCCGACTCCAGGGAGAACTGCAAAGTGGGAGACTTGGTTGGTGGGAAGGCAGGCTGAGAGCCTCATTATGGGACATAGGAGTGGGGATGGCATGATACCTGTCGGGCCAGAGGAAAGCGGGACAACTTCTGCACCGTGGCAGGCTGCCGGGGGTGCCGGCTGTGGAGCACCTGCCCCCGATACAGGCCAGCCAACAGCAGGAGCACCACCAAAGCCAGAGAGCCCGATGAGTACAGGATTATGTCCGTGTATTTGGCCTCGGGCGCTGCTGCTGTCCATGCGAGGTCCTCCTCTGTCCAAAGACAGACACACACAGACATGTAACTGACCGGTCATTGGTCAGATGCCCAGCCCTATGCCCTTGAACTACGGCCCTCACAGCTCCCAATACATACAAAGGCACACACCAAGAAAGCTGCAATTATACCTAATCTGCACACCCCTGGGTTACACTGACAGTCACCTGTGGACATGCAAAGGGATCTGCTACATGCAGAATCAAACACACAAATCCACACACCATGTCCCAAGCTCAGATCCCATAGGCCAAGGGAGAACGTCCACCCAGCAGCAGGTCACAGCCCACTTCCAGATCAAATCGGGATCCTGCAGCCCCTTCTAGCCCTGTCAGGTGCTCACCTGGCAGCACTGTGAGCCAGGCTGACTGGTAGGAGAGGCCGATGGAGTTGCCTGCCAGGCAGGTGTACTCGCCCGCATCCTCGGCTGACACGTTCCTAAGGTATAGAACCTCCACTTCTGAGCTATTGATGTCTGTTGTCTGGGGATGGGAGAAACACTTAGGGGTCACACCGTGGCTAGCCAGGGAGCTGGGGACTACCCTCTAACCCCCATGGGGAGAAGGGTAGGGCTCAGGAGCCACAGGGGCTGGACCTTCAGGACTTGCACATAGGGGAAGCCGTCGGCACCGAAGCTGCTGCCGTTGATGACAATGTGCTTCAGCCACTGGATGTGGGGCTGGGCGTCGCTGTATACCTTGCACAGCAGCTCCACGTCGCTGCCCGCCACCGCTGTGGTATTGGCTGGGAGCCCCGCCTGCAGGATGGGCCGGTGCGGGGACCGCTCTGGGGGCCGGGCTGGCCGTCAACCCTGACCAGCGGCACCCACAGAAGCACCCTGGTCACCTGCCTCTAGCCTTCCCCCCAGCTCAAGGGAGGGACCTTCCCGATAAGCAGCTGAGATGGACAACTTCTCAGCCTAGCATTCAAAACCCTTCATGGCCTGACTCGCCACTTAAATGCCACACCCCAGGCATACACTTCTCCACACATGCATTGTATTCTTTATACCTAAGGTCTTTACTCAGCCCATGCCCTCTGCCTCGATGTCTTTCCCACTTTTCCTCTCGGCCGACCCCTGCTCCTCCAGGCCCACATTCCCCACTGTGCTTCCCTCAGACCCTCCAGGACACTGAGCAGCTTGAGTAAGTCATCTAAGACTGAGTTCATGTTGCCGGACAGACTGGGCCCTACTTGAGGGCAGGGTCTGGGCTTCCACCCACATGCTGCCTCGCCTGCCCGTCCGCTCACCCAGCACATCCAGCAGATAGCTGTAGCGGATGCTGCCCACTGAGTTCTCTATGAGGCAGGTGTACGTGCCACGGTCCGAGGGCACCACGCTTTCCATCACCAGACTCCAGTGCTGATGGCGCAACTGGGAGAAGGAGAAGTGTCCAAGAGGGGCCATAGACTCCTGCCCATGGGGTGGGGGGGACGCGGGGGGGGGCAGTGAGACCAAGGTAAGGAACTTTGGGAAAAAGGAGAAGGCTCCAAGAGTTTTAGCTCGGCCTTTTCCTAGCTATGCCACCTTGAGCCAGCCTTTGCCCTCTCTGAGTCTCAGCATCCTCACTGCAGTCTGGACTGACTCTGTAGGATCTCATCATTGAGAATGAGCTGCTGGAACTTACTGATACTGGTCAGTGATCCTTCCCCCTTTACAAATGGAGTCACTTAGGCTGAGAGGCTGTCACTTGCCAGACAGTGGCAGAGTGGGAATTTGAACCAGAGCTGTACAAGTCCAGTCTAATGTCCCTTCTGGGGCCACACAGTGGCCTTCTTCACTAGAGAAGAAACTAGGGGGTTGACTTATAGGTATGAGGGGGCCAATGGGAGTGAAAGTGGAGGAGCAAATGGCCTTGGGACCTGGAAACTCACCCGAACGCCTCCAATGCGATGCTCTCCGTGGAAGTCCAGTCCATCCTTGAGCCAGCGGATGGTGGGAGAGGGGTTGCCTGCAGCTGGACAGCGGAACTTGACGGTGTTCCCAGCAGGCACTGCATGTAGCTTCTTCTCCATGCGTTGGGGGTGTGTCCAGTAGGGTGCTGGAGGGGAGGGGAAGGGAAGGGAGAACTTAGTGCCCCAGGATGACCACCTGCTTCCACACAGGTCTCTTCTCAGGGACCAGCTGGGAGACAGGGAAATGAGCCCTTGAAGACTTATACTGACCGTGCTGTGGGTAAACGTGCCTATTCGAAGGGCCATTGTGGGCCTTGGGGTCCCCATCACCATTGCTGGAGGTCAAGGAGTCTATGTCAGGGACAGAAGGAGGTGTCGAGGTCTAGGATCTAGGACAGGTAAGGTCTCTCCCCAGGTACCCCTTAGCCCCTACCAGACCCCCTTACCATCCACAACCAAGGTGACATTATGCAAGACAAGCATGGAGCTTCGTGCTAGGCAGAGGTAGCGGCCAGCATCCTCAGGTATGAAGCTGGCAATCTCCAAGCGGCCCCTCCAGCCTCGCACCCGGCCAGTAGCTGCCAGGCGACTGCCCTCCTTATACCAGTGGCCACCACGCTCAGCCCTCCCACAGCATAACTGCACAGGCTGCCCAAGGGCCACGGTCAGCTCCTGCTCTTGCTGCTCTGGGCTGGGGGCCAGGCAGGGCTCTGTGGGCCAAGGGCAGAGGTCAGTGAACCCCACAGCCATGGCTGAGGCAGCCCCCCACATACAGAGAACATGCAGCACACGCAGAGCATAAGCACCTCGGACACACACACAACCACAAGCAACAGATGCTACGCACCGGGCAAAGGCCACACCTGGAGCACAACACACCCATGGTGCATAGCACATATGCTGGACTGGACAGGCCATGTCCACACACACACGGCACATGCTATAGGTGCCACTTACAGGGCACATGCCACACTCGGGGGCACATCACTCTCACAGTGCATACACCATACGTGCTGCCTGGGCCTCCCAAGCTACACACACAGTACTCAGAACACACACGCACACACACAGCCAAGGGGCTCACCACCAGCTCTGCAGCCCAGATCAGGGCCCTGGGCCCTGCAAGACCAGTCCTCTCACGTGGACACAGAGATAGGTGGATGCTTGCTGGGAGCCAGACACTGAGTCTCTGGTTGGGCCCTGCCCTGCTGCCACCTCCTCAGGGCCTGGGCCTGGATCCTCTCCAGCTTTGCTCAGCCAGCAGTCCCCTCCTGGTGCACACGCTTCCCATCCCTGCCACCCTCTCCCACCTTAGAGGTCATACCCAGCTCCATTTCCTCAGAGGCCTCAAAGGACAAAGCTGGAGCCCAGGATGCCCTCAGCAGGACCCCTAACAGGGCCAACAGCAGCTGCATCTCCTTCCTGCTGCTCATGGGGCCCAGGCTGGTCTTCCCACCAACGGCCTTCCCGAAACAGGGAGAGGAGCTCCTGCTTCGTGTGCACCTTGGCTGGCGCTGTTCCCCTATTTTGTGAATAAGGAAACTGAGACAGGAAATGTCCAGCCGTTTATCCGAGTTCTCCCCTCCCCCGGCAAGTGGCAAGCGGCAAGCGGCAAGCGGCAAGTGGCAAGCGGCAGGGCAGACTAAAAGCAGGTCTGCTCTTGCAGAGCCCAAGGCGGCTCACAGGGGGTTGTTGCAAGGGGGGCAAGGTGGGGCTTCCTGCTCTCGGAGGGTCCTGCTGAGACCCTGGCACAAGTTCACAGAAAGGGCAGTTTGGGGATTCTTTCCTTGGAGGCAAGCAGAGAATGGAGACATATCTTCTGCTCGCTCTCAGTACACATAATTTATTTTTTTGCTGAATAAATGAATTTATTGCTGAAGAGCAGGGGGAAAAAATCTGAAATATAATACAAGGCTAAACTTCAGCATCTGGATGTTATCTGATCTGACCCCCACTCCTTATTAGCATTGCTGACATTTCCATGACCAGTTTTGGATACATGCAGTGACAGGGTGCTCACTACAAACAAGGCAGCCCATCCCATGGCCAGCAGAAGTGCCTCCTCATTTGGCACCAGAATAGCATCCTGGGGATACCTCTGATTTGTGTGCCTCCACAACTTCATGTGAGGCAACACTGGCTCTTGTAAAGAATGTAGACTCTGCTGTCTGACAAGACCAAGTTCAAATCCTGACTCTTACAGACTTGCAAGTCCCTGGCCCTGTCAGGGCCGCTGTCCTCACAAGACTGCTTTGAGGATAAAAGAATATATGCAGGGTCTGGCTACATAGAATGTTGAAATGTTCTCCTGCCCCTTCCCCTCCCCATCACTGTCACCCTGAGTCTGCCCTCGGCGAGCCACCTCTAGTTCTGGCACTGTTCCTGTTAGGTGTGTTGTACACACCCACCCTATCTGGTTACCATCTTCCAAACGCCACCAAGGATGTCTCCATCCCCTAAAAGGAACACTCAAACCCAAGCATCAGCTGAGGCAGGGGAAGAGGGTAACCAGCGTAGTCTGAGGGGCCTACTGGCTAGTACCTGGGGCTGGGTAAGTCAGGTGGCACTCGTGTCTCTGGATCTACCTTGCCCAGGATGCCCACTGCACCCTCGCCTCAGCCGCTCCCCCCCGCCCCCCAGTTCAGCTCTGGCTCTGAGGCAGGGGACACTTCGCTTGTCTTGATCAAAGCCATTATTTCCCCCTTCACACTGCTTCTTCCTTGGGCTACGCCTGTAGCTGGAGCATCATCTCTGTCCATCCTCTTTCGACACCCCTTCCCAGCTTCTAGTCCATTCTGCCTCCTCAATTCCTCTCCAGTACAACCCACATCCCCTTCCTGGACCCAGGGTAGGCCATGGTCATCTCTAACTCGGGCCTTTTCAAACATCTCCCTGTGCTCTCCAGCCTCAACTCAGCAGCAGGGCTTTAAAAATTACAAGCTGGATATGTCACGGCATTCCCCGCCAGCTTACAGACCCTTAATGGCTGTCTGTGTCCAGCAGAATTCAGTCCACACTGTTTGTCCAGCATCCTAGGCCTCCTCCCTTCCTGCCGGGGCCAATCTTTGGGCGGGCAGTCAGCCCCTTCAGGACTGAAGATACTGGCTTTCAAAATTGGGCATGTCTTCTCACCTGCTCATACCTCTCTGCTCCCATTTCTCCTCCCCACCTGGCTCAGATGCCACTGTCTCAGCACCCACCCCTACTTTCCGTGGCCCCTCCTCTGTAAAAATCCTTCCACCCTCCCATCTGCAGGGAGGGCAGCTCTCTGGGTCCACAGCTCCGGTTGGGAGCGGGGTGAGGAGGTCTGGGGATTTTATTCCCACCCCCAAGCTACCCTGACCTCAGCTACTGGGCGCCCTTAGTTGGGTCACGGAGACATGGGACCGAAGGGCCTGACTCTAGCACCAGGCAGTCTTGGGTTCGCCTTCAGCGCACAAGCGCTGGGGGACCCTGGATAAATGAGAGCACCTCTGGGAGCTTCATCGTTCTCATCTCCACTCGGGGCTCGTAGTCGGTCCAGCAGCTGAGGGACCGGCGCGCTCTTCCTCCTCCACCCCTACCCGGCCACCCTGAGGAGAGGTGAGAGTCGGCGGGTTCCCAGCCGGCCCGCCCCCGCCAGGGTGGGCAATGAGTAACCAGCTCCGCGGCCAGGGTGCTCTTTGGACGGAGCGGGACAAAAGGCCCTGTGTGCGTTGCGGGTTACTGATTTACCGTCCCCTCCACCCCCTTGCCGAGCGGACGCCCAGGTCCCCAGTGCTGGGAGGGGGCAGCTCCCGCAGCCCCGCCGCCGCTCGCCCCCTGGCGGCTGTGAGCGCGGGATGGGCCCACACCGGGTCCCGGCTCACCTCGAGCCTCCGCGGGCCCGCTCCCGTCACAGGGTCCCGGCTCACCTGGGTCCTCCGCGGCCCCGCTCCTAGCTCCCGCCAGCCCCGACCCCCGAACCCGGCGGGGACCGCAGACTCAGCCCAGACGCTCCTCCGCCCCTGGCTGGAGAGCCAGGAATGCACCCACGAAAGCGGCGTGGCCGCGGGCGGCCCGGCGCCCCGCCCACTTCGGCCCCGCCCCTCCTGGACCAGCTCTATCCTGACAGCGGTGTGGCTGCGGGTGGCACACAGTCCCACCCACCTGGAAACTAGTTCCCGAACCTAAAAGCGTGGAGCGGCCGACTAGGCTAGCCCAATCCCGCGGCCCAGCCCCAGTCTGCTACACACCCGCTCAGACTCCGCCTTTTTCGCCCCACCCAGGCCAGGCTTCGAAGTTCTAGTCCATGCTCTATCTCCTTCTTGTCACCCCTAGAGAACAAGACCCAGCAGTCCTGAGCGCTCCCCCCCACCACCACCACCACACACACACACCACCAACCTTCGCCTTTGCTAACCTTGGCCCAGCCTGGCTCCTCTGTCTTCTGCGCAATCGCCATATAGTGGCTAACAGACTCCCCTCTGACCCCATCCCCATCCAATCTCTGCACAACCTTCAGGGTTGTATTTAAAATACAAATCTGACTGTACCAACCACAACTACCCCTTTCAAACTTTCCAATAGTTCTCTGTAAAAATCCTTGGCATGAGCAGGCCTAGTGGCTCATTGGTTAAGAGCTGGCTTGGGAGCGCTAACTCTGAGCAGCAGGGCTGCCAGTTCGGATCCCACATGGGCCAGTGACGCTGCGCCCTCTACAGCTAAGATGGTGAACAACAGCTTGACCTGGAGCTGGGCTGCCATGAGTCGCCAGCGACGGTGAAGGCTATAGTGGGCTGCAGTGGGCTTCCATGAGCTACTGTGAGCGGCTGGCAGCTGGCGAGAGCTGCTGTGAGCCACCGTCCATTGGCCAGCGACCGACTCCCTCAGCCGGGAAGAGCGCAGTGATCATAATACCAACCTGGGCCGGTGAAGCGACGCCCTCCACAACTAAAGAACAAAAGGACAGCAACTTGTCTGTTCCGCTTTCCCGATTTCCCAACGCTGTTCCCTCCCCCAATTCTCCAATAAAATCTTTTAAAAAAAATCCATGGCATGATCTGCCCCCTGCCCACGTCTGCTTCATTCACTTCTTCCTTGCACCCACCCTACCTCTGGGACTTTGCCTGTGGGGGTTCACTTCCTAGAAAAATCTTTCCCTGCTAGGTCTGGTTAGTTTCACCTCATTCTTAGATCTCTGCTCACTTCCTCAGAGAAGCTCTCTGGACTTGGCAGGTTCCTCTTCTTAAGTCTTCTCTCCTGTGAGCCCTGAGAAAGAAGTGGAGGGTTAGGGTGGGGTGGAGAAGTGATTAA